CTAAGCTGCGTAATGTGTGATTCCTGCCGTGAATTCAATCCTCTGGCTGGTTTACTCTGAATTCACAATGACACAATACTTCCCAGCAGGTTCTGTTTGTGCATCAGAAGTGTCTCCCTTTGTTTCTCTGTTTTGGGGGATAGAGACTACACACTGGACCTTTTTGTATTCTGCACTGACACGAATGCTTACTTGACCATTTTATTCATTTGCAAATTCAGGAAGGGTAATGACCGTAAAAGAGTTAGAATGGCCGGTTGGAAAGCTTTGTGGCTGGTTGAGGAAACATTTTAAAAAAGGAAAATCTTATTATGAATCAGTGTTTTTGGACAAACTGAACAAATCATTTCTGTTAAATTAATAAAAGGGAGGCGGTGCCTCCGAGGCTGTTTTATTTATGTCGTTTCTATTGAAGTATGTACTTACATTTCCCCCCTCTAAGTGCCTTGTAGTTGGCCCGTGACATGTGTTCTCCTACTTCACTGACTTCGCTGCCTCTGTTTAGAGATAAGAGCCTCATTGTCTCAGTGACCCTGAGAAGTCGACTGATACTACTTGCTGCTCGGCTCCAAAAAGCGAATAGCGCCACATTAATAACAACCTTCGCAGACCTTGACCCCCGCTTTATCTCATTTTCCAGCTGACAAAAAGAGAAACTAACAGTGTGTTCAAGTGGAAAGCGGGTGGGAGAGGAGGGTTCGCTTTAGTTTTGATTGGTGGAGAAGTTCTTCCGATAAGGAAAAGACGGACTGCGTGAGGAAGCCGTTCGCCACACAAACCTTGGCCCCGATCAACCCGCACATTGTTGGACGAGACTTGTGCGGAAAGAATCCGACGGTATCTGCTGACCAATTGCCGCACCTTGACCTGTGATGTCACTCACGCGGGACGGGCCAATCAGGCGGCAGGGATCGTTGGAGGGGTTGCCATGAAAACAAAACAACAAGGATGACCCATGAGAGGTCACATCTTTGGCTTTAAGGTTAACCGGTGCGCCCACTATTGTTTCAACAGCAGCCTGAAAACAGGTGAATGTTTCATCCCTCTGTTTTCATACTCATAATATATCATATATTATTATTACTTTATAAGCAATTATGTTCATCAGGTTTCAGTTTAAAGACACTTCCATTCACCATCTCATTCTAATTGAGTGTTTTGCCTTTTATTCTTTGCCCTTTCCTTTTCCATAATGATTATAATTATTATCATCATTACTCTGCTGTCTCTCTCGTTCAGCACATTTAACGGAGACAACACCAGAACCCTGAGTCTCAACTGGGCTTTGCTTTTGTAAAGAAATAAACCCAATATCAATCATCCCAATGGTGTCTTTGTTTGTGAAAAAGTGATGACCTGTTTCTTGTTTGCTGTTGTAATCATTTTACGTTTTGGCCTGTAACCTTCCTCTGGTCCAGTTGAATCTATCCACATAAGCCACACCCATTTGCTTCTAGATTGATTTCTTACCATTTAGAATTGTATCCAAATCTCTTACAAATGTTGGGCAATCATCACCACGTTGAGATTTTTGATTTTTTTATACAGTTTTGCTGTGCTTTAGTCCGAACATCGTTATACGGCCTTGATGATTTCAGGAAACATTTAAATGAATCTACAAACATACACAATAGGACGTTTGAACATTCGACATGGGAGAAAATGTGATATTTGAACTATGACGACATGTAGAAATTCAAAATGCACAGTATGTAAACGCAACAGACGATTTGAAGTAGTCTGCCTCGTGCAGCTTAGTTTATACTCGCCATAGTGAAGCCGGAGAATTACGTAATCACGGCCGGCGCGTGGTCGTGCACCTCTGAATTTCTGGCGCGAGCGATCACGTGACATCACAAATAGTTGACTGATTAAGACACTATTTACATTTCTGTAGATCATACAAAGAAGGTCAATTCACTTTAAATGCTTTAGAAACAGGAAGTCTTAAACATAAACATTTGAGTAAATATTTTGCAGTTTACAGATTATTTACAGGATATTCAACCTTTGTTTCTTTATACAGCTTTTAATACTTCACTTGTTTATTTACAGATCTTCTACAAAGGTGATAACGGGTCCATGAATATGAGATATGACTTTTCAGATAATTAAAATCCCTCTTCATCACTGTGGAGATTAGTTTATGGCGTTTTGCTGGTTACACCTTCAGTCTTTGTTCATATCTATGAGTTACACTCGTTGTCCCCCTGGTGGTTTAATCCAGCCCTGATTTTGTCAAAAAACCCTTCCGACCACTGCAGTCCTTTGCTGACGCGTATAGCACCTCCCACTTCCTTATTCCCAATTCATTGGTTACAATATAAAATAGCAATACGAACATTGAGACCCAATGATGCGGGATGAAGAGGAACAACAACAACAACAACAACAACAACAACAACACACACACACACACACACACACCCACATCCCGGCACCCATGATGCTGCTCCACCAGTCCCTCGGTTGGACTCCATACTGGTTCATAGTGTTCAGGGTCTACTGGTTTCTGTGTTTTAGTGTTGGACCTGTTTGATGCGCGGCTTCAGGTAACGCTGCGTGTGTGTGAGCGCGCGCCGCACGGACAGGTGCGAGGTGAGTACAGAGTTCTAGTTTCCTCCACCAACGGTGGTTTCATTTTAAAATAGTATTTTATGAGCTGATGTATATAAACTATTACTCGTTTAATAGCCTAATTCTTGCATATTTTAAATAATTTGCTTGTTTAATTTACTTTTTATTGAGTAAATATTGCACTCTTGGCAGATTCCTCTGCCAATAGGCCTTTTTCACAGCAGCCATGTTGAGATGTAATTGCAGGGTAAACACAGGTGTGATTGATTAAAGGTCCCATTCTATTTAGTGTCGCAGCCATTACAGTGAGCCAGTTTGCACAATAACGGGAACCCAGCCCACCTAAATGGAACAGGGCCTTTATTTTTTCAATCACACCTGTGTTTACTCTGCAATTACATGTCATCATGGCTGCTGTAAAAAAGGGCCTCGTGTCATTTATTGAACAAGTGGGTTGTAGTTTCACTTTCACCGAGGTCAAGGAAAAGTGGTTATAGATGCTGAGGGAATTTTATTATATGTATTACACCGACGCAGCTCCAGAGGAAAAGTTTAGACACATTCTCAAACTATGGGTCATCCTCCTATAAGGTACAAGTATCATTCTGTTTATTTTGTCTTCCCCACTGGATGTGGAATAACGTATCGATGCTTTTCCGTTCCTCTCTCTCGTCTGGCTGACTGCCAGACCTGTACAGTTAAAAACCAGCTCGGCCTGAATGGAGGATAAAAGCAGCAGGCAGTCGGGACAAAAAAACGAAATGGAGTCATTCTCACAATCAAGGCCAACTCGTTCGGACTTGCTGCAAGTTGTAACGCAATTATTCCCAGACCACATGTTGTGGGAGCAGGAGTATCGGGCAGAGGGGTAAGCCCTCCTTTCTCCTGCCTTCACCCCATAAAACACACAGAGTAGAGAGAGTTATTCCATATGACCTAAACGTGTAAAGTCAGTTTCAAATGTTGTGGTTGTGGGTTTGCAGATTTTGTCGTATGCTGTTCATGGAAAGTCAGATGATGAACTGAAGATTGTGTTTGTAACATCACCCTTTTTATGGAAACGTGCGACCGCAGATATGATGGAAAACCTTGAATGAAAGTCAAGTCTACGGGTTGATATTTGTTTTATTTTATTTTCTGTATGAACTGGAATACCGCTAATAATTTCCAAACATTTACACACTTTTATTTAGGACACTTTTAAATCCATGTTAAAGCATTGCTGGATCGTTATGTGCAGAAAACGTCACATTCTGTGTGCAATTTAATGAAAATAAGCTCTTAAAAATTGTACTCTGGAGAGACGGTGCAAAATAAAATGTATAAATTAAGAAGTGAAACAGATTGAGGACTCCACGCAGCTCCAGAGGAACCTCGTTCTGCTGCTGGAAAGTGGAAGGATGTAGTTTGTTCAACAGTGCGTCTCGAGGAGTATTAATGATGTGAGAGTGAGTAGCTATAGCACAGAGATCCATCCTCACCCACCACTCTCTCACTCTCTCTCTCTCTCTCTCTCACTCTCTCACTCTCACGCACACACACCCTCAGTTACTCCGTCAGTGACACTTCCCTCCACGAGGCTGAAGAGATCTTTCGGTGAGTTTGTTTACTTTAGTGATAATGAAGTGATGTGATGACGTTTGTCTGACATGATAACGGAAGCTCAACAAGAAAGAAATGCAGGAAATCTGTCTTTACAAAATGTGAGAGCATCAGATTTAATAGTTTGTGGTAATAAACATAATGGAAGTCACACAATAAGTTAGTTCTACACAATAGGTCTGGTTAAAGCGGCTAAACGTGCTTTGTTCCTGATTAAAGATGGAAAAAAGCTTTTTGTTTACTTGATGTTTGGCTTTGAAAAGGCCTCCAAGTGATATTGACAATTGAGCAGTCAGTTAAATTGTAATGTAAATATTTAATATCTCTTTCATATTGTTTTTTTTTTTTTAATGGACATTTGCTGCGAATAAGCAATAAAATGTACATAAAATTACAAATGTATGTACCCAGAATAATTTAGGGAAAAAAGGTATAATTGTTCTACCTGCACATCAGGAGTAGGCTGAACAACGTTTTTATTTATTATTGTTGAAATGTACAGACTGTCACACACAGAATCTGCAAACTGACAGATAACTGTTTAAAGTAACGCGTCTCTCAGAAGCTTGAATCCATGCACGTATAACATTACAACTCTAAATGTTGGTGAAGCGCTTTAACTCTCTGTATATTCCACATATTGATTCCCACATTTAAATGTTTTGCTGTAGTTATTTAAAGTCAGTGTTGTTTGCATCTTTGCCACGATCATATTTTGCCTTGTGCAACGGGCTTTGCATGTTTCTCACACAGCATGTTGTTGCCACCTTGTGGTCAATATGAGAAAGAATAAAGATCACTAGAGCATGAAGCTTATTTTACAAAACAGATGTCGGTCCTTGAAAACATCCTTTTAAAGTCTCAAAGCTCGATTGGTGAGCAGCATCATTTCCGCTGCAGTTATTATTATTATTATTATTATTATTATTATAATAATAATAGACCCTGTTGGTGGAAACAAGGCTGTGCAGCAAATGTTGATCTAAACTTTCCAGCCATGCTGACATGAACTACAGCTTTGGCTCCATCGTGTGGTCAGACATGATAACTTCATTACTTACAACTCACACTTCAAACTTGAAGTGAGCGTTTTTGCAGAACTTCCAGATGTTCCAGATGTCGACCACGAGCTATTGGTGACATTGACAAGCTAAACTAATGGGTTCCTATCAGGGGGAGTTGCTTGGACTTCCTGTCACTTTCAGGTTGTTATGATCAAATATGCAAATGTGATTCTCCACATATAATAAACGTATCCAGACAGAATGTCCAAAGAGCTCACGTTAACTACACAATACGTTCACTAATCTGACCCCCAAATGCATATCAAGTGAATCATCCATATATTCAAAAGTTTATTTGAAATAGTAAAAAAATGCATTAATGTGCATAAAACGATTCCACAATATGGTATTTCAGGAATCAAGAGAAAATAAAACAATAGTCTGTACTATAGACTATTGTTTTATTTTTGTATGTCAGTAGCCTAATGAGTAAGTCTACAGGTGGAAGAAAGTTTCACTTTTTTATTTTATTTATCTGTAGGTTAGGACAGTGAAACTGTTCAAAATAAGACGGTTTCTTAATGTTTATGGAAGAAATTCTGCTGCATTCTGATGTGAGTTGGCTCCAGTTTTCCTTGTTTTCTTTATTCTAACATCTGCGTAGACAATTTCATCTCCAGTGTTACCTGGGGAAAATGAAACGGAGTAATAACCGAGGAAATAAAGAATCTGAAACCTGAGAGGAAAGAAAACATTGTTTACTTCAGAATCTGTAAAATCCTTATGGAGAACATCTTTCTCTTACCTTCATCAGCGGCTGCAGGTTTTCTTTTGTTACGTTTTATTAAACCGAGACACAGAGCGGCGAGAAGAAGCAGAGAAACGACACTTGCTGTCACAACCAACGTCACAACGGGGAACAAAGAAACTAAATATGGAAAACAAACATCAAAACAAATGAGATGATATGATGAAGTTCACTTTCACACAATTTCATGGTCTTTTTGTTTTTGTCTTCCAGCAGTTATTCAACACCAACATGATGTGAAAATATTATTTAGTTTTTACCATGTAAAGTGCCTTTGAGCACCTTTTTTAAAGCGCTATACAAATCAAATGTATTGTTATTAATAAAAAACAAGACAATTTGAGATTCTAGGTGAAAACTTTCCACCCACGAGACTTCAGTAATGTTCAGTATCAGACAGCAAAACTAAATCTGATATTAATTATAATCTTGTATTCTACTATTTATTGGCTTAGTTGTCCCGTATAGCCAGATTATATTTATATATTTTTAAATGAATAACAGTGAAGTGCCAGTGAAGAACCTCTGTACCTCGGCAGCTCTTCAGGTGAATAACGGTTTCGTCTTTGGTGAAATTGTTCCACACTCGGCATGTTAACTTTCCTGTCTGCTCGCTGTGTAAACCGACGGTGACGTGTGAAACTCTCGGTTGTTCTGGTTCGGTGTTATACCCAGACGGTGACTCTGTCCTGGTGCGAGGTGTCTGGCTGTGGCATCTGGTCGGCACCAGTAACAGACCGTTCAGGGTCAACATGAACTGGACTGCGTCTCCTTCAGAGGAGCAGCTGATGTTCCTCTGAAGTTCTGGTGACAAACACATCTGGGAAACAGCTGGCTTTGACACTGGAACTGGAAGACACAAATGGAGCATAAACAGCAGGACGTTCCGATTGTTAAAAATAATGTTTAGTAGCTTCTCTTTTCTCTTTTCTCTCTTTTTTTATCAGAAGCAGGGCGACATGTTTATAACACTTCACGACTAAACTGAAAGTTTCCTCAAACCCGATCTCATCTTTTACATCTCTTGCTTTAATCAGATTTTATTCTCCCGAACATTGTTGTTTTAAAAAATATATATATTGCACATGTGATTGTATGTTAATGTTTTATTTAGTCTATCGACTCGGCTCCTGTTGCTGCCTCTTTAGACAGGTCGTCATTTTAAAACAGAACTGGTTCTCAATGGACTTTTCTTTTTTAAAAGATAAGCGTCGGCATGTTTAGGTAAATAAAGTCTTCCTCTAGTGGCCCAAGAAGCCTTTCAGTGGAGATCTATGGCTGCCTGTAATTCTTCCCGTCGCTAATAAAAGCTAAATGGCACAATATTGCTTGTTATTAGATAAATCAGTGAAGGTGAGACTTATTATAAGCAGGCAGCTCATTAAAATACAATATATGCACAAACATATTTTACATATAAAAGCCTAAGATGAAGAGATAAAATGTAAATATAGACTATTAAACAGTTTGGGGTTCTGCTGTTAGATGTTTTTCTTCTTTTCTTCAATCAAGACTTTTTTTTAACGGAACACTAAATGCATTATTTACATTTGTAATAGTTTTGCTCCAAACAAAGAGTGATAATTCACTCTTACGTTTAGTCCGTCACATCTGACTGTTATGAAAATCTAACTTTTGAGGCAAACAATCCCAAACTTTTAAGCGTTGGTGAACGATAGCCAAGTGTTAAATATCCTGTATTAGATATGCAATCGATTTTTCTTTAGTCCACAATTTATATTCTACACTTTGTTTATCTTTTTATTTGACTCACCTTGTAGTTCAAGATGCATGTTGACCTTTTTCAGTAAAACGCCGTTGGATTCAAATTCTTGCAGCAGGTAATCTCCAGAGTGTCTCTTCATTGCATTGCCGAGTGTGATCGTTCCATTGGCGAAGACTTCAGAGTGATTCACATATTCTTCATGCGTCTCTATCTGATTTTTTGCTGTTCTTAAAATCACATATTTTTCATCCTTTTCCAACCTAATATTTGGCTTTGCTGTATTTGTCAGATGAAAAATCAGCAGCTGTCCCACCGCTCCAGAGCACCACCGAGCTCCAGCAGCTCCAGAGAAATTGCATTTAATAGTTCCTAAAAATAAAAAGCAATACACATCTGTGAATAACGGATAAGAACTATTTCTTATTTGTGTTCAGCATTTCAAAAGGGAAATAATGAGACTATTTAAATGTTTCTAAATTCAAAGACTTCTGCCTTCAATTATATATGTGTATTCATATTGTACTTGTATATTGTCTATACACCATAGAGTTAACTGCACTAAAATACTTTTACACTCAAATGTACCTTTTGCAAGAGCTGCTGTTGCCAGGGTCGTGAAGATCATGCCGATGAAAATCATTGTTTTTCTCTGTTGTAACGCATGAATCAAATGTCACATTTTATTACTATGTTAATGGTATTTATGTTCTGTAACAATACAAACTGTTAAGATAAAAAGTTAAATATAAATCGCACATATGGACTCTTTCAGAAAATGCATAAAAATCTATATCTTCTATAAACTATAAAAGAAGACTATTATTCTTCTGCTCACCTTTAGCTTTCACAAGTTTAAAGTTGAAGTCTGAACTCAATGATGCGATGTTTTCTTCGTGGCTGTTGGAGGCAGACTTGTGAATTTTCCACTGACGGAGGGCGAGTTTATGCTTTTTGTTCGATGAGAATCAAGGAAGCGGTTGTTGGTTTTTCACCCACAACTTGCCACTGAACATCTTCTAATTAGCAGAACACAGATGAGGACTGTTTCAAGTTTGATGAACCACAGTTTATTTTTGTCAGAGTCCACCGTGCGCTGGAAGTCTTTGGAGATTTTCTACCGGCTTCAATTTGAACATTTGAACAATCTGTTAGATTTCCCTGAAACACTTTCTGCTTTCTTAGATTATGACCAATGATCTTTGCTTAGTGCATCTTTACAGAGAGGCCTTATGCAGAGGTCACATATAGATTGATTTAATTGACATTTTATTTGTCTCAGTAGTTCATACTGTTAAAAAATGGAGGTGGTGGGATACAAAGGACCATGATAATAGGTGTATTGTGTACTTTAAACGTGTAGTTTGGCCTCTGAGCTCCTTCATGAAGCGGTTGTGGTGACATGTTTTATCTTAGCAGGGCTATGAACCGGTATCATTGTTTACAGGATGTGTTTTGATGTGAGGCCCGTCATGCAAAGGGGAATGAGATCTACCGTACAACTAAAGAATTACAGCAAGTTAACCTCTTCTTTCAGTTGTACTTTAATCAAGTAGTGCAAACGGAAGTATTTGGCTAAATGTAACCACACACACTTCTGCTTTGTACATTTATTTGAGGGATATTTGTGTGTGTACGGTCGTTGAGCTTTTTATTCTAAATCAATGTCAAGCTATTAAACAGTTACATTTAAAGAACCATACAAATAAAACCTCTGACTGAGGTGAGTTTCTCGACGTAACTACTGCCGAAAAAAGCCTCCAGCTGTGAATACGCGACACTTCTGTCAAACGGCCACAGAATCAGAAAACTTTTTATTGCCAAGTACGTTTGCACATTCAAGGAATTTGGCTTTGTGATTGGTACATGACAATAAACACAGTGCAATTATAAGACAAATTAAGAGTACGTTCATTAAGTGTCAAGTAAAAGGTTAGCAAAGCAGTAAAACATATTTCCAGAACTTTACTCGATACATTTCAAGGGTTGTAACTTTTTGTTGCTCTTGCATACCAGTTTTTTTCTCATGTCTTTAAGTGCATGCTATTGTTTTATGGATACAGGAGCTGCATTTGATTGGGTAAGAAGGCGTTTTTTTTGACATTTCATAAACCAAATAGTTCCTATACCCATGCATGGATGCTGTTGTCACATTGTTTCCTTAACTATGCTGTAAAGTCATCGTAAACCTGCCTGACAATGAAGAGTTTCTGCAAAGATGTGAAGAGATCAAAACTTCCTGCGTCTCAACGTACTGTTTAGCATTTATACAGCCTCTTCAGAGACGGGAAGTGGCTGTACTTTAGCCAAACCTTTGAAACAAACATTACTTACCAACATCTGCATCACGAAATGTTCTCAGAGGTGTAAAAATAAACACCGGGTGAGACTTGACAGTTAAAAAACCCACAGCTTTTTTTCTCTCACTGCATTTGAAACTCTCACAGGAAAGACTCGCCGTCTCTGCTGTATACGGACCAACTGTTTTGTGTTGGTTTGCATTCAACATTACAATAAAGCGTTGTATAAAACCGTAAAGAACATCAGGTCCAAAAACACTCATACTTACATACATACTCATTTCTTTTTATTATTATATTTATAATAACTGTTAAAATTATTATAATTATTATTAAACACTTCCTGCCTCTCAATGTACTGTGTAGCAAATTAAAAAACAAAATGACAACATGTACTATACAGTCCTCACAAACATCTGCATCACTGAACCTTCTCACTGCCTACAGATGTTGCAGTGTGTTAAACAAAGTGTTTGTTTTTACAGACGGTCTCTCTGCTTCAGCACCAGGTATTTTAAGCAGCACCCACAAGTGTGTGTTTACGAGCCTGTAACATCACATTCACCTTTGTGCATCCTTTGTTTCCAACATGGATTGATTTCATTTTCAAACGCATTCACGTAAGAACTAAAAACAACATTTAAAGCAATTATTTTAGCATGTTTAACATCTGTGTTGCTAAGTGTTGCTACGTTTATTTCATTGATTTGCCAGTTCACACACCTGTCTTCTGACTTAACAATATATATATATATATATATATATATATATATATATATATATACATACATATAACCAGTTATTAAAATTCACAAAGTCCTCTTGCATCAGTGAACTATAAGCCAGCGTGTTAACAATTATCTGTCTGTATGTTCATTAACTATTCATTCCTGACTCATCTGAAAGCAACGATCTGCCCTAAATTAACAGAAGCTCGTCTCACAGTTCAATGAGTTCGCACACGATTAAAAAAACATTTGTTTCGTTGATGACCTTTACACAGGTCTTTGAGTTCATGCAACACCTCACTTCAACACAAGGTATGAGCGCTACAACTGAGTGCTGCTCAGTTGAGTGCCCTGAAAGTTTGTGTTTTTACCGATGGAGCCCTCTGCAGCCGAGCAGTTTCCTTGTTTCCTCCAGCTCTCATCTATCTCCTGTCCTTCCCCACTCTGCTCCCATTTCCCTCTGACTTTTCTCTCGGGGTTGATCTTGACGGTAATGCCCTCCAGTGATGTTACTGGGCCGTCATTTCCCTTGCAGCTCCAACCTTTAGCAAGAAAACATCAAGAGGAGGGTCGGCGTCTCAGCAACATCGACCAGGAAGAAGTAAATCAGTGTCGTAATGTAAACGAGTGAAAGCAAAGTGGTTGAGTTTGTATCTCAATAGTGGGTGAAAGGGAACAGATATACGTTTGTTAAATCATTATTCATTCAGCTAACTTGTTGACTTGAAAAGTCTCGCGTATGATGTTTACCTCTTGCATGCCTGCACCTCAGGGTCACCCTGGTGATGAGGTCATCAAGGGGCTGCAGTGAGGTCATCCAAATGGGAAGAAAGTCCCAGTTCTGCAGTCTAAGTGGCAACCAAACAGGTCTGCACGCCTGGAGCAGGTTAAGCGTTGCACCTGATATAATCACCACGATGACCGGCACGCCAATCCCCGTCATCACCTTCCACCCGGCCATGGAGAGGGCGAACACGAGGGACGGGAGTAACAGGAAGCAGAGGAGGAGGTACAGCACGGCAAACCAGCGGTACCTGTGTGTGTGTGCGCTGTGTTAGTTTATCCAGTCTTTTCATTTATTGTTTTATTATCTCCGCCAGGAAGATTATGCCATCGGACGCATTTTGTGTGCGCTTGTGTACGTGCACCTCTGTGTCTGTCCACGGCTCATCTCACATTCTGCTGTAGCAAACTGCATATTATTTTGAGTGGTCAGTTATGGCTGCATGCTCAAGGACCTTTAATGGTTGCGGTGACTCACACCTTCTCGAAACACCTTTTTTTTTACCTGTTTTATATTGTTATGTGCTGACTCCTCACTCACTTATCTTCCGGTGAGGGTCCGCTGGTGATAACACAGCTAAGTGCAAAGCCAACCAACCCATCTACTTCCACCCGACTTGCAGCCACAGTCGGGTGGATAACAGTTTGTTGTGTGTTTGACTAACAGCTAACGTAACTACCAGTACACACACTGCTGAGGACCTTGTAGCAACTGCTTGGCGGCTGAATTTTATTGTTTTAGACAGTCTGTTAGGCTAACCGCCAACAGCTAACGAAACTACCAGTACACACACTGCTGAGGACCTCGCTGTACCTCAGCTGCTGCTGTGCAGGCAGACAGCTTGGTGAGTTTGATCTTGGCAAGATTATATGACGTGTCTCATATGCCTGCATACATCAGCGCTTGTTTTTGAGTTTGAGTGAAGTGGGTTTTTTGACTCCTTACAGCGCTGGTCTAGACGGGGGGGGGGGGGGGGGGGGGTGTGGTTACAGCGGGGGGGGGGGGGGGGGGGGGGGGGGGCGGGTTGTTGCTGACAAACCTGGCGGAGATGGGCTGAGAGATTTCCCTTGACGGTTCAGCTACCATCTTTAGACATCTTGTTTGTTTTGAGTAAAAACATATCGTACCTGGCAGTGCAGTTGCCAAGGGCACAGGCCATACGTATAGGTAGGCGGGTGGCTGGCACGGGATACCACAGCAGGATACCAAAGAGGTTGAAGAAAAAATGACACAAAGCAACCTGAAACAAAAGAGGTGGTGAGCAAGAAAGGCGTGATGTCAGCAGGTTGCTTATGTTAAGTCGTAATATGATCCCTTTAATGTCAAGTTACAATATAAACCATAGAAAGCAAGCATTTTCACAAGTGATTACAAATTTAAATAATCACGGAACCAATGTTTTACATAAAAAAAAAAAAAAAAGTTACATTTTCCCCTTTATTTGACAGAGGACAGTGTAGAAATGGGTAAGAGAGAAATGGAGAGGGCTTTGACATGCAACAAAGGTGCCATGGCCTTAATTGAACCCAGAGCATCAGGGTCCAGGACTTAAGCGTGCTTTGCCTCTATGATAGTTGCACTGCAGTCCTACAGCAGGAATGTCAATGGCAGTAGGACAAAAGATACGTGTGTGCGTGGATGTTTAAAGAAAAATGAAACATGGAGAGATTGGACCCATTGAGCACCAAGGGAGAGCGATTGTGTGTGTGTGTGTGTGTGTGTGTGTGTGTGTGTGTGTGTCTGTATATACAGTATATACCTGTGTGGCAGCAGCTAGCTTATCTCCAGGACTAGCCAGGGCTGCCAGTGTAGCTGTTGTAGTGGTTCCCAGGTTGGACCCCAGGGTTAAAGGGTAGGCTCTTTCAATACTGATCACACCAATCCCTGAGGGTTCATAGTATCTCAACTTTAATACAAAAGCTCATGTTATGCATTTGGCAATTTAACTTGAAACACAAAATAAAAGATAAAACAAATCATCAAGTCAAGAGCCAAGTAAAGTAAAGTAAAGTAAAGTAAAGTAAAGTATAGTAAAATATAGTAAAAGTACTGTCAGTCAGGTAAAACAGATCACATCAAAAAATGTTAATTTGTGACTTTGCTTTCATGGAGATGGTTCCAGTCACGCTTCGGGTTAAGCATAGATCAATAAGACGTGTCACTGACTTGTTAGAGAGCAGAAAATATTCAGTCCAATATTTAGTCCATTCAAAAGATTCTTGTGAGAGTTTTACAGCCGATGGCGCGATGAGATTAGTTTAGATGCTTATCAGAACGCATGGGAAACGTAAACAAACATTTATTGAGATACATCTGAAACTGGGCCAATTTCCTACACATGGAGAATTTTTAACAAACGCGCTTAACCATTATCTTCTGTAGTCCTGTTAATGCTGAACCGAGCTAGCAGGAGAGCGCTGCATTCAACTGTAACAACACTGAAGTGGGGGAAGTTGCCTCGCTCTGTTCCGTGTGTTATGCATAGTAAATAAAGTAGTAAGTCATTTTGTTTATGATTGCGTGTGTGTTACCTATGAGAGGAGTTATGGCAGAGGTGAAGACAGAACTACTCTGAACCAAAAAGGTCATGACGGCTCCCACTAAGAGAGCCAGAAAACCTGCCAGCCAGGTGAAGGGGAAGGGGAAATCTACAGGACAGAACAACACAACACCGGAGAGGGAATCTTAAAAATCACTGTTATCACTGCTGTAAAAGCTGTAATGTGTTAAAAACTATATTCCTATTACCTGTATTTACAACTTTGTTGATGACACTGGCCACCTGGCCCTTCAGCAGGGAGTTGAGCAGTTTAACCAGCAGCATCAGACAGCTGCACAGCACCAACAGGGAGCAAGCCAGGAGGACCAGACCTATGGCCAAGTCTGACAGAGAGCAGTCCACAAAGAGATGCCTACCTGGCGTAGAGAGAAAGACCGGAGGTTTCGTGAGGATTTGATGTAGAGAACAAGATTGTTTGAGTGTAAAATTGAAGTACCAAGATGTAAAAAGGGAGGAAAGTTCTTCTCTGAGACGACTTCAAACTAGGTAGAAATCATTTGCAGAGTATTGTAATGATTTGATGCCCAAGTTAAAAGGACAGTTTTTCCCTCTAACCTGGAGTGCTATTTATCAGTCTAGATAGTTTCATCGTGAGCTGCCTAGTCTTACAGATGTCGGCCTTCTCTCCAACATAATGGGACTAGATGGTATTCTCCTTGTGGGGCTCAAAGCGCCAATAGGTTGGAAAAAAATCAACTTTCCTTAAATCATGACCCTTTTCTCGAGACAATCCGCAGACTAGAGATGAGACAGTACAATGTTTTTATCATGGATCGCGATACAAAAAACCCTACTTATAATAAGTTGATCGTGGTGAATTTTTATCATCTGGATAATTGTGAATATTGTCAAAATTGGCTTGACAAAGCTGTCCAGCTCACCATTCACTTCCATTTCAATTTTATTTGTACAGCCCAAGATCGCAAAGATCGCAAATTTGTTTACAAATACGTCTGTCAAACTGTCACGTAGATAAGTGGGGAAAAGAGCAGGATTTAATTATTATTCATGCAGGAGGGGGCGTATGATTTTTGAACACCATATTTAAGATTTAGTTTTGTCCGATCTGTGATGCAATAGAAATCTTAGTTTGTGAACTCAATGTAAGGTGAAGGGATTTCCAGAATGCTTTAGAGACATTTTAAGACATTAATTGCAAAGATTTTGGCCAAATATTGTGACATTATATTTTCAGATCTTCCCATGCCGACTGTTGTGAGCAGTTTAATGTCGGAACTTTACTCGAAAGAAAATAGTTCTTTGAAGTGAACTGTTTTTTTTAAAGCGAGTGATTAAAACAGAGAAGGAAAGATAAATGATAGAGGGAGCTTCAAAACTTACAATCACAGAAACACTTAAACTGTCCTAATGGCATACTGTACATTTCTGTATGTGCGCTGAAAGGTTGTGTGTTCCCCAGGATGTGTCATTGTCCTGTCAGCAATGACAAATTCAATTCATGAGCATGATTCGTCTCTTTGTGTCTTTCAGCGAACTAATAGTGAGACAAAGAAGAAACCGACAGTGACTTGACATTAAAAATGAGACGCATTGGGTCTTACTAGTACCTTCATAGTTGTGCTTTCACACCATTGCTTCACCAGACTCTTGTTCCTCACACTCTGGTCTCCTGTAGCGATGGCTGTAATGACCGACCGGTCCAGCTACACAGAGATCATGTTATGACATCTTTGTTACGGTTTGTTAGATTTGCAGTTAATTGCTGCAATCAAGCAGAGAGGTTTCACAACAAATATGGAGATGATAATGTTACTGATATATTAGTTTTTGTTTGGTAACCAACTTGTTTGGGCATTTATTACCGCTGCCATCTTCAATTACACTGATTTAGAATAAGTATGCAAACTATATTCAAAGGGTAACTGGTATTTTTTCACCTGGAGACCTGGAACCCAATTTTCCCATGTTTTTGTGACTTGAAATTGGTCCGGTATTTGTCCCAGTTTTCTCTACTTGGTTGGGTTTTTCAAATTCCATTTTATGCAAGTTTTTAAATTCACGACAGATACAGAAGCAAATTCAGTGAAGGCCCAGGGGAAAGACCTGGAAAGCACAACCTGGTAGCAAACATTACAGCAGAGCTAATGCTTTTTATCAGGCGGCAACCTCCGGTTCTGTAAAGTGAAGCCAATGCTGATGTGTCTTAAAGCTGCATTCTCTCTAGTGTCCACCAGGGGGTGACTCCTCTGGTTGTATGGAAGTCTATGAGAAAATGACTCTACTTCTCTCTTGATTTATTACCTCAGTAAACATTGTAAACATGAGTTTATGGTCTCAATCTCTAGTTTCAAGTCTTCTTCAATACAGCATGATGTTCATTTAGTACATTATGGTCCATTTAGAGTCAAACAGACGGCCATAATACAAGATGGTGACGGCCAAATTGCCGAACTCAATGCTTCAAAACAGCAATCCACAAAACAATGAGAGAAGTCACGATGACTATGTCCACTTCTTACATACAGTCTATGCTTTTTATTAAAAATATGTTTTTTTAGCTGATATTCCTACTACTATCCATTCTGAAGAGCATCCGTTGATCACTCCCTCAACTCAAACTATTTGCTTCTGTATCTATCTTGAGTAATGGAAGAAAATACCTCCTTTGCTTATGGAAAAATATGCCATTACAGTACCTGGATAATCATTTTAGTGAGCGGCTCAGTGAGGACTTTGAGGAGTTCAGGAGCTTCTTCTCCAGTACTCAGCTGTAGTGTGCCGACCACGGCCTGCGACAGTCGCCTCAACATCCCACTCAAAGCTTCCAGAGGGAGAAGCACCAAGACAGACAACCAGTTAAAACAGTCGTGCACCGTAGCTCCAGCAAATGCCCTAGAATATAGACAGTTTCAGATGTTAAAGATAAACATACCAATAAATATACATTTTTTATATATATATATATATATATATATATATATATATAAAATGGCACATAAACGCAGCCATACCTTTCAAAATCATCTCGTTCCCCAGCCTGCATTAGAGCAACGATAGTATTGGTGACTGACGTTCCGATGTTGGAGCCCATGATAATAGGAATAGCTGACTTAACATCCAGCACTGTACCAAAAGACAGACATTGTATAAGTTTAGATTGATTAATTGAAGTGCTGCCATGACATGTTTTAACTATATTACATGTGCATTGTTGTAGAATTGTTGGCACTTAAACTCACAACCAGAAGAGACGAGACTGACTATAATGGAGGTAGAGGTGGAGGAGCTCTGAACCAACACCGTCACCAATATTCCCACCACCAGCCCTGCTAGTGGGTTAGATAGGAGGGCATTTTCCTGAAAGATGTCTCCTGCTACCCTTCCTGAAGGGAAAGACAAAAAGACATAGACAGGGGGACAGCTTTGATATTTTTAATCAAGCTGAGCATCTGTAAATAAAACACAAACTTCAACACGGTATCAAGGCAGTTTGTGAAATAGTCAAGAATCACAATCTATTGGTTTTGTGTACATGGACTCAAATTATCATGGACATTACGTTAAAAATGAAAGTTAGGTTTAGGCATCAAAACCACGAACAGTTAGGTTCAGGCAAGAAATCCACAACGCAGTGTTGAATACCGGTCTTCTGGTTGAAAGTCCTGTTTGCTGGACTCATCCACCTCCCCTTCGCCCACCAATAGTCGTATTTTTGGATATTATAAAGCACATCACTTTATTTGACTGTTGCTTAACCACATGGATGCATTCAATTTGTGTGTCCACCACGATTAAGGCTCCTAATTGACTTTCCATTGGCCTTATTTTCATCCTCAACGACACAAATAAAGTACAGGAAACCCATAGATTGCTTTTTGTGACGATTTCCATAACTGCCATGATACTGGGCTGCAAAATTAAATATCTGTAATACTAGGTATGGTGCTATATTGATTAAAGATGTTGACGATGAGGCTGCTTACCTCCAGCTAGTTGGAAGGCAGAACTTAAAATATCAAGGGAGCACACGAAGAGGTACAGGAGCAGAAGGAGGAGCGGGATTTTGCAGAGATTAGAAACTACAGATTTCACTCGCTGTGTCTCCGCCTGGGCTTCCATGGTGGAATCCTGGAGGGCATCGATTATAGATGATTGAAGGTGAATTAAAAGGGGTCAGTACCGGTCGTAATAGTACTGGGACTATTTAAATATACGCAGCAGAAGAAGTTATAACACATACAGAACACTGAAAGATTACAGTAACACGCTTACATTAAACTAATGCAGCATGGTCAAATAGTGCGGTTCCAAATCAGTGCTGTGACCCAAACACAAAAACAATACCTGCAATTAGTGCAGCTTCAAGTAGTAGTTTTGTCCAAACAGTATTATTTCCACATACCCGTGGGTTTTGATGAAATGGTGCCTCTGCTTCAGAAAGTGAATTCTGACTTAAATTGCAGCTGATGGTGAGAAATGAAGAATGAATATTTTGAATGAAAAGATGAGAACGGGACTTTTCTTTGCCTCATACACTAGTATAGTAAAAGGAAAAGAGTGTCAGAATGAGGCATGAAGATGAGAAAGAGAAGGACGCGTGAGAAGGCAGAAGAAAGGGAGGTGCTACTGTGTGGTGTAGATTAACTAATGGGAAGCCAAGACTCCCTGCCGCATTCTTTCTTTTAATCCTTCTTTGTCTTCATCTGTCAACCATCTGTGTCCACCTCCATATGGTTTCTGCTCAGGCTTTCTGAAAGAGGGCATTTTGTCGTGTTCAAACAGAAAAGATACCTCTTAGAGTTGGAAGCACACAGTTTTCTAGACAATAATTGTATGCTGTAGACTTAAGATTCGCCTAACCTGAAACTATATATTGCTGTGTGTCCTTCTTTGACACTACCTCTAGGAGTCATCGGTTAGCCATTTTTAAATCATACACAGAGGCGTTGATAATACAAAGACAAACTATGCGTTTCAGGTAAGAGCTACGGTTTAGTTTTCAAATGCTGAAAAAGTCGTATCACTTTCTTTTTTATTTCAAAATGGATCGTCATGCGCAAAAAAGTTCAGTTTTCAGATGATTATGCAAATAAAACAAAAACAAATTACTATTATGCAAATTTGTCCACGGGCAGGCGCAAACCTGTTCAGCACACCGTGCACGTGCAGATATGCAATATATATATATATATATATATATATATATATATATATATATATTTATCTGGTTTGGCAGAGAGGCAGCAGGAGCTAAGGACGGCTCTTTATTTGGAGAACTCAAATCCACATCTGCTTACAATTCATTCTACGGTGAACTTGAATGTCCTCTATGACGCGAACGCAGTCCGGTTTGTTCTATAGGAGACAGGGCGTTGGCTAGATAAGGGGTGTAACTACTTACTTACCGTTTCTTCAACTCGGTTTATGCTCCAGGGAAACAACATGGCATAGCATGTGGAGTGTGTACTTGCCACAGCTGCAGGAAGAATGTGGATAGAATAGTTGTCCGACGAGGATTCTCTTACTATGAAGAACTACGCTGACAGCGTTGCTTTTCTGGGTCAGTGGGGACGTTTCCAGCAGGTCGTCTTCTTCCTGCTGTGTGCCAGCATCGTGCCCAATGGATTTGGAGCTTTCACCCTTGTTTTCCTGACTGACGTGCCAAGTCACCACTGCATTGTACCTGACTTCAACCTAACTGAAGACTGGCATAAAACCCTCATACCGATAGAGGTGAGACGACAGAGAGTCAATGCAATGAGACACTTTTGGTCTTTCGACACATAGATGGCAAGGTTTCTTAAAACAATCTCTTAGCAACAAAGAATTACAACAATATACTTCGATTATAGTTGTACATTTTCTGTTATGCATGTATGGCAAGGTCCCATCATTAACAATACAGAGATGACTTTGTGAGGTCTGAGTATAATAGTACTCGCTGTAGATGTGTTTAATATAAAGCATGGTCTCAAACCAGTTCAAGGGAAATCACAAGGTTTGCAATGAAGTTAAAAGTTGCTGTTTTTTGCCAGAATACATATTGTTTTAGTATTTCTTCCCCATACATTCCTTGACATTGCATTGCAACATGCATTACAAGGATACGTTTACTGAGAAACAAATGTTTCTAATGCCACTAATGAAGTTTGTGTCATTGTGACTGTGAGGTGGTGAATGGGAAACAGCAGCTGAGTAGATGCAGCAGGTTCAGGCTGGATGTGGTCAGAAATCTCTCTGCTCAGGGACTCATTCCTGGGAGGGACGTCAACATCACGGACCTGGAGCAGGAGGGATGTGTGGACGGGTGGAGCTACAGCAGAGACATCTACCAGTCCACCATCGTCTCTGAGGTGAGTGTGTGTGTATTCCTGTTGGAGTATGTATTTAATTTGTCCCCCACAGTGTGTGTACGTATGGCATGGCTTTTGCCTGCAGCGTTTGGATGTGTCTAAACGGCACATTCTCACGTCAGTGCCTCAAAAAAATGCAGCTTAGTCATTGGCACGATGCTTCAAACTATGACGCTCTACATACCCCTCTAGCGTCAGTTTTGCAAGAAAATACAAGTTGAAAATAAAAGTCAGTCATGCAAATCCAGTAAGGCCAGTACTACTCTGCTGTGATTGGCGGTTTATCTGGTGATACTATCCAGCTGAGAACCACTGTCCTACATGAGCGCAGAAAACATTATATTTTCCTGAATTTAAGCTTTTGCATTTTCCTAATGCTCTAGCATTATTCAAACGTATTGTAAGACTTGTACCGAATGGTTTAATACGAAGACGTACATAGTTACAGCCTTAGAAACAAATAATAGCTGTGGCGCCATCATGTGGTTATAAGGTGGTATTTCAGCTGCAGGACAGCAGTGAAGGCCCAGGTATAAAATGCACGGCCCGCCACTGGGTGATAGTAATATTCTTTCCCACGCTGGCTGTTTGGGCACAATAGTCTTTGATGTGAATGAAGTTATTAAATTTCCCCCAATTAGCGGCTGGCTTACTTAACACCACGTGCTTAAATGCTACACTAGTTACAAAAGATTTGCCGAACAAAGTTGTCACGGTTCTGGTGATTGTAATGTGTTTTCGCTTTACGCTGTGACAAGAGTGTTAACCCCTGACGAAGCATTAAAATTGTTTATTTTTACTCATTTAGTGGCTGGCTTGTTAGCTAGCTAGCCTATTTGCTAATTCCACTTAGCCTACATGCTACAATGGTTACAGAAATTGTGCGTGCATGAGAGAAGTTCACCTCTGCCAGAAATCTCCTTAGTTTTTGGCAACAATCCTACTTGGTTAGATTTAGTAAAAGATCATGGTTTGGGTTAAAATGTACCCATTCTGGCAGAAAGCCCTAAACACAAACTTCTCCCATGTGCGTTAAATGTTTGCAATGTCAGAATTTATTCGGCAAAGGCTTTTTTGACAAAATCGACCGCAAGCAGACATAAAAACTCGGTGTAAAAATATGTGAATGGAAACGCGGCTAGTGACGTTTCAGGCATCATGTTTTTTTCAAATTAACCTTCCATCTTCTCAGGAAACAAAGAGTTGGTGTCAGACACTGAGGAGCACTGACCAAGTAAATAGTGACTCCTAGTTCAGGCGGCAACCTCCTTCAATCAAGTGAGAAGAAGAGTAATCTTCTTATAGACTTCTATACAATCAGACTTCTTTTTGAAACCGGAGGAGTTGGTCAATGGAGAGAATGCAAGTTTCAAGACACTTTTGCATCGGCTTCACTCGGGAGAACTGGAGTTTGCCGCCTGGTCTGGACCGAGTCCGTGTTTCTCTCGTGTGATTTGTATTTGCACGGGCTTGAAGAGGAAATGCTTTTGAATGTAACCCTAACCCCTTCGCTCTCTGTTCAACCTGTTTTCTTGCCATGCCGGTAGAGTGAACAGGTACTTTCAGAAGTCAAAGACGCACCCATTGTATCATCACACTGTTCGTGAAGCTCATTAGGTTCATTTAAATTAAGTGAACTCAGTGAACTAAGCACCGTTATGCATCGCTTTATAACATGCACATGTAGCCATTTTTTCAAATTCTCAAACATCAGTGTTCCATAAAATACCAAATTCTGAACAAAACGCATTACACCAGTACATTTGAAATTCAAACATTTTTTGCATGTGAAGAATCAAGAATGCAGTTGCAAAATGACCAAATTGACCTAAAACAAATAAATTAGGCTCAAAACGTGAACATGGACATACCCCCCCAGTCAATGCATTTAATTGATTAATTGTTCATGTGTGGATTTTCCAGTTTGACCTGGTGTGCAGTGAGCAGTGGAAGCTGACGTTCATTTCCACAGTTTTCTTCGTTGGGGTTCTTCTTGGATCCTTCTTCTCAGGACAGGTTTCAGACAGGTACTGAGAACACCATGTGATACAGTTTATACAAGGCTTTTATACATGTAGCTACCTCTTTAAATACCCATATATTGTAGTAATTGACTAATTACTCTGGACTGAACGTTTCACCACTCATTGAGGCCCTGTCTACAAGTACACATATATGTTTTAAGAGGGGTAACGGCTAAACGAGTCTTCCTCGGCTTGAAAGGCAACAGAGATGTCTGAATATTTCATATAACAAGACTCCAAATCAACGTTTTCTTGGACTTGCCTTATATTGCAAAGTGAAGTGAAGCGACAACTACACTCCATAGTCGTTTATGAGTTCTACTGTGGACGGAGATATTTTGTAAAACAAAGGTAATTTGGACGGAATGTATATTTTAGAACGTAGAGGAAAATATCCGATTTCAAAAATATCTGTATACATGTAGACTTAAAATGTTGCTGTAACTCTTAACTCCAATTTGTCCATTTTACTTATAGCGCATTCCTTTCTACAATAGTAAGCGACACTTATCCTTCTTATAATGGTCAAGAATATCTATACAGTATATAGATGTGGCATTGCTACTTTTGCTTTATTAAATAATGTATGTATTTAAACTTGAATTAGCCTTAGAGTACTGTACAATAATTAGCAGACTTTTGTGTCTTAATAACTATGAAGTGCATTCAATGTTTGTTGAACGCATCTGCTGATCAGATCTCCAAAACCACAAAAAGTGTAGATTTATTTTTTATTCGTCTTTATGTTCATTATATATACTTTGGTAGTGATTTCTCATTTGTCCGTGGTTTATTCTACTTCTCTCACAGATTTGGAAGAAAACCAGTTCTTTTTGCCACCATGGCAGTCCAGATGATTTTTACCTTTGTTCAAGTCTTCTCTACCTCATGGCTTATGTTCACTGTCCTCCTCTTCATCAACGGTTTGGGACAAATATCCAACTTTGTTGCTGCTCTTGTGTTGGGTACATATGAGCATTGTTTACTATATAAATACTGCCACAGTAGTTTTACAGATGTGAAAACAAGTGTACTGATCTACTTGTATTTCACTTGTTCACCACGTGTTTCTGTCTTTGTATTTTTTAATCTCTGTTGCAGGCGCTGAGATCTTGACAGGCGATGTGCGTGTCCTTTACTCATCTCTGGGCTCATGTTTAAGCTTTGCAATCGGCTACATGATGCTGCCTCTCTGCGCCTACTTTTTAAGGGACTGGAAATCTCTCCTGTTGTCTTTGTCGTTGCCTGGCCTGGCCTATCTCCCCCTCTGGTGGTAGGTTGCACTCACTACAAGAAAGCGTACTATGAATTTCCATAAAGTTCATGTTTTGTCAAAGGACAGTTTAGAGTATTTGGATATTTGCTGTAATAAAAAAATCTTGAAACCAAAGATTACAGCCTTGACTGTTTTAAAAAAAATGGTAAACTGACGTGTAGACTTTCTGAATAATTGGGCAAGACTTTGTTCCCTAAAAGAAAGACACAAACGGTAGTATACTTCAAATTCACCTCTAGATTTAACCCTTAAGCACACTAATTGACTGCATGTTCCTGTACTCTAAATCCAGGTGTAAGACATTTTAAGACTTGTTTATATGATTATCGATCAACCCCCCCTCCGATACATTCTGTTTCTTATTAATGAGGAATTCATGATTTTTTTCCCCAAGAGAAGTATTATAACTTGTAATCACCATCTTTGATCCAGCCTGAATCATTCTGTTTCTCTGTTGAATTCTGAGGCAGGCTCATCCCAGAGTCTCCTCGTTGGTTGCTCTCTCAGGGAAGAGTGGAGGAGGCTGAGATTATCGTCAGAAAGTCTGCCAAGTGGAACAAAGTTCAGGCTCCAATGGTCATATTTCAAGATTACAGTGTATGTTGACTTGATGATGCTTTTTGTTGGAACTCTCTATGAAACATCTTAGTTTATGTTGTCCTTGGTGTTACAGAAACACCCAGGACACACTGGAGGTGTTTAACGTCGGCAAATTAATTAAGTCTTTTCAAAAGCAAAATTATGAAGATGATCTTTTTTGTGGCATTTTAAGATAAATATTTACAGGCCTACATGTGACAAATATCTGGTTCAAGCAGCAATATTAAACTTGAAAGTATAAAAGCTGACACCCTTTGGGACAGACAGACAGGTTAGTAAAACAAATAAATAAAGACACCGAACATTTGCAAACAATCTTACATACTTCCAATCGCCCGCCAAGGAAATAAAAGTGAGAAATAGCACTGGAGATGTAACTAGGACTTTGAATCTTTGAGTCCCTCCCATAGACTGTATATAAGAAGTGGACGTAGTCATCGTGACGTCACCCATTGGTTTGTGGACTGATGTTTTAAATTCTCAAGTTCGGCAATTTGGCCGCTGCCATCTTGGATTATGGCCACCTTTATGCAACCAGTGAATGGATGTTACCATATTTGGAATTGGGAGGAGTGACGTAGAGATGCCGTACACGGCTCTGGTAGAGGCAGCGACCTGTCAATCACACTCAGCCTTTCCTAAAGCATCCCCTGCTTTATGGTCTGTTTGACTCTAAATGGACCATAATGTACTAAATGAACATCATGCTGTATTGAAGAAGACTTGAAACTAGAGATTGAGACCATGAACTCATGTTTACAATGTTTACTGAGGTAATAAATCAAGAGAGAAGTAGAGTCATTTTCTCATAGACTTCTATACAACCAGAGGAGTCGCCCCCTGGTGGACACTAGAGAGAATGCAGCTTTAAGGCACTTCAGCACCGGCTTCACTTTTCAGAACCAGATTGTAGCCGCACATTTTTGTGAATCTCAGACCAGAAGTGTTGTATTTTGAGGTAGCTCCACACTTGCTTGAGTTCCCTGTACATCTTTTAGAGTTCAGTAAGATCCTACTCTTTTTCATCTCTGTGAATGACACATTGGTGTCCCTTACTCTGTCAAAGAATAGAAGGATTTTGGGTTACTCTGGAAGGGCACAACAAACAAGAGGGAGAGACTTACGTTATTGTATCTTGCAGGTTGATAATAAGACTGATCCTAAAGATCACCACAATGCCTTGGACCTGCTGAGGACCAGCAGCATCAGAATCACAACACTCCTCCTCTGCCTGGTGACGTGAGTAAACAGCTGAACTTACGATGATATTTTTCTGTGTTATCAACAGTTACTGTCTGAGAGGTCAACACATTGACATGAAGAGAAGATCTTATCATATGCAGCATACAGGAATATGCTACAAATGCTGAAGAAACAGTAAAATATAGAGGGAGTGCTTGAATAAAGTCATTGTTTTTTAGTATCCACAGCCATAGGGGGATTTTTCTTCCGTTTAGTTTTCTTTATATATGAAGCACATTTCGCACCTTGTCTTACCCAGGTTTGCTACGTGTACCGGATACTATGGCCTGTCTCTCAACACATCCCAACTCCATGCTGACCCCTACGTGAGCTGCTTCATCTCAGCAGTGGTGGAGGTACCAGCGTACATTTCCGGCTGGCTGGCGCTGCGATACTTTCCACGTCGGCTGTCTATCAGCTTTACATTACTCCTTGAAGCAGTGTCACTGTTTCTCATTCAACTGGTGCCTCAACGTAAGCAAGAAACAAAACGTGACTCTATACTCAAAGATTATTGATGCAAAGTGATTGTTCATGTGGTGAAATTCAGAGAAATCATTTTATTTCTAAAGAAGCTATTCTTTAAGCATCTTGGTGTTTAACACTATTGAATTGTTACAATCAGGGAGTGACTAATCATACATTTTAACTGACTTTATCATTCCTTCACGGTTAGCATACATTAATTATACATCTCGCATTAAAGTGTGCTTTAAATCATCATCAGTCAGGCATTAGTTATGCGTTACTGAAACATGTGTTTTGTAACATTTTTTAGGCTAGAGGGAAGACCCTCAAAAGCTTTAGTTTTCAAGAGACCCTTACCGGAGCTAGAACAAAGCAAAACAATGTTTTTATATCCTCTGAGGTCTCCTAAACATGAAATGGATTCTTGTATATTCCTGTAATATTTTACCTCAATAGTGGTTCAATTGAAAGATATTGTGTTAAACCCCATAAAAGAAGAAGTGCAAAATAATGCCAGCCCGAATGGGAGAGGACACACCTTAGTTCATGTAATTTTATAACCAAAACTCTGAATGATCCAAGATTTGGTGTGATGGTGGGCAGGGGGTTTCTCTAAAAACAGAATGTGAATATCTTGATGCATTGAGGAAATACAGTACTACAAACACTGAAGCACAATATGCAGAAATCTCAAATGTAAAGCTCTAAGATTAATGTATTCATTTACTCTTACGCAGCTTGGCTGGTGTCCCAGAAACAGCAATCAGGGTTTGCTGAAATGTTAACGCTGCGCTAAATCCAACAATACAGGATGTGTAACTGTAGCAGAAATGGTCAATGATCGACATTTTGTATGAAAAGTTCAAAGCTAAAGGAAATGGGTGTAAAGGGGACGTCTGCAGTCAATCTTGAGACTTTAATTTGTGACAAACTGTGAATCACCACTTATTGAAAGTTTTGTATCAACTCTATTTCAGGGGGTAAATAAATATGCTAGCAATAAAAAAGCAGTAATTTGCACTGGCAAAATATAATATTTAAGCAGAAATAAATAAATATATATAGATGTTTGTTTATGTGGTCAATTTCACCTTTTTGCAGTAAAATATTGTTGTACAAGAATCCATAAAATGTTTGTGCATTGTGGTGCTTTGTGGGTATATCAAGGTTTTGGGTCACTTTCCTCTTGTAATTATAAAGTGTTACCAAAAGAGAAAGTAGCTGCATGATCCGGACACACACGTACAAATTGTTACTTCAGTTTTGTCTGTTTCTATTCTGTTGTTTTCATTTTTTTTTTAAACTAAATATTTCCTTCTCCTTTAGGTCTATCAAATCTGTCTATTGCACTGGAGATGTTGGCTAAATATGCCGTTACCGTCCCTTTCGCCATGCTTTTTGCCTTCATTGCAGAGCTTTACCCAACATTGCTCAGGAACACAGCGGTGGGGATATGCTCCACTGTTGGCAGACTGGGAAGCTGCATTGCACCGTTTTTGATAACTCTGAGTGAGTATATTGAGTTCAGATGATGATTACAACCCCTAGTTTCACATTTCATGTATTAAGCAGCTGCACTGACGTACCCAGGTGAAGTCTGGGCCGTTTAATCTTATTTCACCTTAAGTTTGGAAACCATTTTTTCACTCTCAAATTCACACCTAGACTTTTCTCCCATCTAAACCTCCCCTTCTCTTTTTTTGTTTTTTTCAGACATCTACCTATTACCTCTTCCTAATTATATAATGGGGACTCTGGCTGTTGTGTCTGCCGTTGCTGCTCTATTCCTACCGGAGAGTTTTGGACAACCTCTACCTGAAACTATGCAACAGATGCGTAAGAGCGAAAGGTAGGCTGCTACCTCTGTTATGGAGCTTTATATAATAAGTTTTAATAGACGGTTCATTTGTTTAACACAATTTGTAGTAGTTTCACTAAAGTAATGATCTTAATACTTCCTCCACCACTGGCTGGTTACAACTTGTTTCTGCTGCTCCCAAGTGGCAAAAAGAACCCGTTTCTTGAGGTTCAAGGATTAACTTCAGACCATTACTAGATTTAAGTGGTTAGCATTGTTATTGCACAGAACGTCTTCCCACTAAAACTTTACAAAACATGTTGTAAGTTGATGTGCTAATGTGACACAAGTGAAGTCTGCTGCTTGTGATGATGATGAAGTTGATAGCAGCAAAGGAATATTTATAATTCTTTCTCTTATTGTTGCGCTATCTACAGAACCTTGCAACTAATAATGTTGTATCTGACTTTTCTTTTTGTCCTTGTAACAGGATAAAGTGTCCATGCATCCCTGGAAAAGAAACCCGAATACCTGCGGTACTCCAGGACAGTCCACTGTGATTATCTAGCACTCTACTGATGTAGGTGATATGTTGATATTAAATATCTTTAGCCTTCTACTTTTTACATTTCTTAATATTTTGATAGTCTTCACGGTTTTAAAGGTTGAGTAAAATGTATTTACTTTTTAAATACATTTGAAAATATTACTGCATGTAAAAATGAAATAGCATAATTATATCATGGAGTAATACATGTGGCTTTTGTCAATTTTTCTTTTTGTATCGCTCTGTTTTTGTCTCATTTTGACATCTGCATAAGCACCATATACACGTAGGCTATCGTATCTTAAAGGACGAAGATGTCAAGGTGCATTTCACATCTCAATAAATGTTTTTTGGTTCCATAAATATAAATGATTCTTTTGAACTCATTTATATATTAATAGTGAAGCCCTGCAAATATATTGATTTAAAAAATATAAATAAATCATTAACAAATGTATTTATAATCATAACAATCTTAGTGCTACGTGTGTTACGTCGTCTAAATCACTTTTGATTTCAGAAGTAACTGGTTGTTCTTGAGCAATATTATACAAGACAATATTAGACATTATGGTTAAAAATAAAATAATACATAAAAAAGTTCAATTAATAAATTGACGAACACTAACAACCCACACCAGTGCTGTCTGGGCCTGTTTCTAAAAACATGTTGACTCCGTGGCTACGGCCTTGATATACAGGCTTCAGTTTTATTATCCTCAATGGGGAATAAATGCACACGAAACACTCACTCACACACCCACTTGTGTTTGGAAAGCCAACACGTGACAGGTCAACATTCAGCATTTATTGTCTTTGTAATGTTTAACCTGAGACTAACAAAATGTTGCTTTGAGAACTGTGGCACTGCAGCTTTTTTGCCATTTGTTTACTCTTTATAGCCTCCATGTTTGTATCCCTGGCAACTATGGCTGGCAGTCCTTGGTGCAAAGAACTACTTGAGAAAAAAATCTCCAGTTTAACTTTTTGCTTTGGCGTGCATGTTTATTGAAGTTGCCTACAAGGCGTGGCTTTCACAACAGTTGAGGGGAGGACAAACTACTCCAGAGCAGTAGAAAAACAAGTATACACAATAAACAGAGTGGAGGGGACGGTTAGGATTCTGAGACCATGAAGGATTATGATGACTCCGTAGCTTTTCTGGGCCAGTGGGGACGTTTCCAGCAGGTTGTCTTCTTCTTACTCTCTGCCAGCATCTTGCCCAATGGATACGGTGCTTTCTCTGTTGTCTTCTTGGCTGACACTCCCAGCCACCACTGCCTGGTTCCTCACGTCAACCTGACCCAAGATTGGCTTAATGCAATCATCCCGATAGAGGTAATTTTGCTTTTGATCACAAAGGCCGAAAAAGAAAAGTCTTACTTCAAAGTATTTTGTACAAAATTTCTAAAAACACATATTTTGTATTTGCTGTGCTATTTTTAAGCTAATTATCTAATAGAGCAATAGTTAATGATGAACGTTTTCATGCACAAAAATGTAAATTAAATCTTTCTTTTTACATGTATATAGATTATCAACGTCAAACATTCTTCACTGATTTGGCCTCACCAGAGTAAGAATTTTAGATATTTGTGAGTTCAGGCTTTTAGTGATTTTACTGTTGTTTTGCCAGAATTGTTATTACGTTACAATACTTTGATGATCATATGTGTAGCTTTAAAGTTGATGTATTTTTCTGCAGCTGCTGTATAAAGTTTAAGAAGTCTTATAAAGCGGTCCGGCTACAGTTCAGGGTTCTATCTGAAATGTTACTAATGACACGAACGAAGTTTGTGTCATTGTGACTGTGAGGTGGTGAATGGGAAACAGCAGCTGAGCAGATGCAGCAGGTTCAGGCTGGATGTGGTCAGAAATCTCTCTGCTCAGGGATTCATTCCTGGGAGGGACGTCAACATCACGGACCTGGAGCAGGAGGGATGTGTGGACGGGTGGAGCTACAGCAGAGACATCTACCAGTCCACCATCGTCTCTGAGGCGAGTCATACTGAATATTACACGACAGTTCAGTAACTGAACTATAATAAATCATTAAACCTGAATGGAGCACATACACTGTACGTTTACTTAAGAAGGAAATGTTTGATTGATTTTTCTATTAACAAATGGATCTAGCTTATTTTTCTTTGTTCATGCATGGATACTCCAGTTTGACCTGGTGTGCCGAGACCAGTGGAAGCAGCCGTTCACCTCAACAATTTATTTCCTGGGAGTTCTTGTTGGATCCTTCTTCTCAGGACAGCTCTCAGACAGGTACTGAAAACACCATCTCATAATGAAATTATATACACACCATATTCATAAAACATGTTCATTCTTCCTGAAAATGTCCTTGCTTAACTTTTGCCAAACGCAAAACACAGGATACAAAAATAAAAAAAAGGAATCTTTAGCAACCTGTACTGTAAACAATTAAACAGAATCTTCTAATTTACTCTTATTTCATTGCTTGATTTCTCATTCTAGGTTTGGAAGAAAGCCTGTTTTCTTTGCCACCATGGCAGTTCAGACAATTTTTACTTTTGTTCAAATCTTTTCACCTTCATGGATGGTGTTTGTCATCCTCTACTTCATGAATGGTTTGGGACAGATCTCCAACTATGTATCTGCTTTTGTGCTGGGTAATGTGAACATTTCATGCTTTAGAACAACAAATAATACTCTTCTATAGTCAGTGATGTTGATACATGTATTGTGTGTACTGTGCAGGTTGTTTCACCTGTTACTAATATCTTCACTTATTTACCCGTCCTTTTGTCATGCATTTCTCTCTCTTTCAGGCAATGAGATCTTGACTGGACATGTACGGGTCCTGTTCTCCTCACTGGGTGTGTGTCTGGGATATGCCATTGGCTACATGATGCTGCCTCTTTTTGCTTACTTTTTAAGGGACTGGAAATCTCTCCTGTTGGCTATCTCTCTGCCTGGCCTGCTCTACATCCCGCTCTGGTGGTAGGTTGTATTCATGACGAGAAAATGTGTTCATGTTAAGTTTACCATACTATCCATCGATCCATCCATCTCCATTTTTACTTCCCCTTTTGCGTGGCTGGTTGGCATTGGCAGATGGCTATGCAAGATAGTCCAGATACCCCTCACCTCAGCAATGTTTTCCAGCTCTTCCTGGGCGATCTTCAGGGGTTCCCAGGCCAGATGAGATATATAATCCCTCCAGTGTGTTTGTGGTCTTATACTAGTTGGACATTCCCAGAAAACCTCCAAAGGCAAGTGCCCTGATGGCATCCTGATCAGATGCCCGAATGCTCTTCTTGATGCGAAGGCGAAACGGCCCTTTGAGATCCTTCCTAATGTCTGAGCCCCTCTTGCTATCTCTGAACTTCAGCCCTATGGAGGAAACTAATTTCAGCTGCAATTTTAGTCTTTCGGTCACTTGAAAGGTTGTAATAGATCAACTAGTAAATTGGAAGCTTTGCCTTCCAGCTCAATTCATCCACACATTTGGGTTTACCAGGTCCATCCGGCAGCCTACCCCGCCATCAGTTGACATCTCTGGCCGATTGTCCTACATAAACATCAAACAAAAAGTTCGGAAATTAGTGTTTGGTAGATTATTTCTCTGTTGTAACAATGCTTCTTGGCAATACATTTTATACCGTTGGAAAGCCTGTTGATTTACCTTTTTAAACCGTGCCCCATTTGTAAGGAACATGCATTTCTGGGATGAGCAGCAGAGCTGAGTATGTGGGTTGCGGCCATGAAAAATTTGCCAAATCTTCTCTGCCAATGCCAAACAGCTTATTTTGCTGTTGCTATTGACTCTTGTTTGGTGTTGTTTGGTGGATTGGATGTTTGAAGTCTATCAGTAACAAGGAAGAAACAAGACATATTGGCAATTTTAAGAACCATACACAGCCACAACAGCCTGGCACCTCCTCCTCATGCTGGTCACCAGCCTGGTCACACACTGCTGTGGGATGGCATTCCACTCCTCAAGTAGGATTTGTCGCAAGTCAGCCAACGCGGTTGTGTTGGTCACTCTGGCACGAGCAGCACGCGAAATTCTGCAACCAGTGGCAATCCCATTTCTCCACAGTCTGGGACCGAACTCCATCCTCCAAAATGACAACACTCGCCCCCACAGAGCAGTTTATCAGAGACTACCTCCAGAATTTGGGAGTAGAGAGGATGGAATGGCCTGCCAACAGTCCTGACCTCAACCCAATTGAACACTTGTGGGATCAGCTGTTCGTGCCGGAGTGACCAACACAACCACGTTGGCTGACTTGCGACAAATCCTGCTTGAGGAGTGGAATGCCATCTCAAGAACAGAGAAGGCAGAGAAGATTTGGCAAATTTTTCATGGGCGCAACCCACATACTCAGCTCTGCTGCTCATCCCAGAAATGCATGTTCCTGACAAATGGGGCACCATTTAAAAGGTAAATAAACAGGATTTCCAACAGTATAAAATGTATTGGCAAGAAGCATTGTTACAACAGAGAAATAATCTACCAAACACTAATTTCCGAACTTTTTGGTCGATGTTTATATGGCCTCACATTTGATGATTCAACCACAAAGTCGATCATCGATCTTTGGCCTAGGTGGCCTAGTATGAAGTACACTAATGAATCACCCTCTGATCGAACATGGTGTTTGTTATGGATGGACTCCAAGAAGGGCGGATTCTCTGAGCTTATGCACCAAACAGCAGTCAAAGATTTACCCTCAGTGACCTGCATTCGTATAGAAGCAACCCTCTTCAACATCACCAGTACTCATCCAGCTGCCAGTATCCCCACGTCCGTCTGGCGCCTCTCACCCTGGGCGATTCCAGAAAAGGAGTCAACTAAAATACTTCCAAGTATTAAAAATAATGATTGTATTCACAATTATGGTAGTTTGTCCAATTACTTTTGAGAATCTGAAAATGTGGGGTACTGTATATACCGGACTCTGCGCTCCAGCTGGCTGGCTTCCAGCTGTTCAGAGCGGATCGCGAAACGGAGCTCTCAGGCAAATCGAAGGGTGGAGGAGTCTGTTTCTACTCCAACAGCGGCTGGTGCAACGATGTGACAGTGATTCTTCAGCACTGTTCTCCTGATCTGGAATCTTTCATCATTAACTGCAAACCCTTCTACTCCCCCCGTGAGTTCGCTTCATTCATACTGGTCGGTGTGTACATGCCGCCGCAGGTCAACGTGCAGGAAGCACAGCGGGCACTCGCCGAACAGATACTGTGTGTGGAGCGGACCTACCCGGACTCTCTAGTTATTGTCCTTGGTGACTTTAACAAAGGAAACCTCAGCCATGAACTCCCCAAATACAGACAGTTTAATAAATGCCCTACCAGAGAGGAGAACATTCTGGACCACTGTTACACCACAATCAGCGGGGCCTATCACGCCGTCCCTTGTGCTGCACTGGGTCTCTCTGACCATGCCATGGTCCATCTGATTCCTTCATACAGGCAGAAACTCAAGCTCTGTAAACTTGTGGTGAGGAAATTCAATAAGTGGACCAGTGAGGCTATGGAGGATCTTCGGGCGTGCTTGGACTGCACAGACTGGGATGTATTCAGGACTGCTACCAACAGTCTGGATGAGTACACAGAGGCTGTGACTTCATATATCAGCTTCTGTGAGGACAGCTGTGTTCCATCAAGCACCAGGGTGAGTTACAACAACGACAAACCCTGGTTTACAGCAGAACTCAGACAGCTAAGGCTGCAAAAGGATCAGGCATTTAGGAGTGGGGACAAGGACTTGTATAAAGAGTCAAAGTACAGGTTTAGTAAGGCGGTGAGAGATGCTAAACGACTGTACTCTGAGAAACTGCAACACCAGCTCTCAGCAAATGACTCTGCTTCTGTCTGGAGAGGCCTCAATCAGATCACCAACTACAAGCCAAAAAACCCCCACTCCATGAACGACCTCCGCCTGGCAGACGAGCTGAGCGAGTTCTATTGTCGCTTTGATGGACAATAGGAGAGTCCTGACGCCATCCCCCACAGCTCCATCAACCAGCCCCAGACCACCAGGTCCCCCTCCCCCATCCCAGCAGGGGCCCATGCCCCTGCTGGGATGTGCTCACCCATCACAGTGTCCCCCCCACCCCCCTCCCCAGTGACGACTCTCTCTATCCTGGAGAGAGACGCCAACAGGCTCTTTAAAAAACAAAACCCCCGCAAAGCAGCTGACCCAGACTCTGTCTCCCCCTCCACCCTGAAGCATTGTGCTGATCAGCTGTCTCCGGTGTTTACAGACATCTTCAACACCTCCCTGGAGACATGCCACGTACCAGCCTGCTTCAAGGTCTCCACCATCATCCCCATCCCCAAAAAACCAAGGATCACAGGACTCAATGACTACAGGCCCGTCACCCTGACCTCTGTGGTCATGAAGTCTTTTGAGCGCCTTGTCCTGTCCCACCTTAAAACCCTCACCGACGCACTCCTGGACCCCCTGCAGTTCGCCTACAGAGCCAACAGGTCTGTAGAAGACGCAGTCAACTTGGCCCTTCATTTCATCCTCCAGCATCTGGACTCCCCAGGAACACACGCCAGGATCCTGTTTGTGGACTTCAGCTCTGCCTTCAACACTATCATCCCGTCTTTGCTGCAGGACAAGCTCTCCCAGCTGCACGTGCCCGACTCCACCTGCAAGTGGATCACAGACTTCCTGTCTGACAGGAAGCAGCACATCAAGCTGGGAAAACACGTCTCAGCCTCCCGGACCATCAGCACCGGTTCCCCCCAAGGCTATGTTCTTTCCCCTCTGCTCTTCTCCCTGTACACAAACAGCTGCACCTCCAGTCACCAGTCCGTCAAGCTCCTGAAGTTCGCGGATGACACCACCCTCATTCGACTCATCTCTGGTGGGGATGAGTCCGCCTACAGGTGGGAGACTGACCAGCTGGTGACCTGGTGTGGTCTGAACAACTTGGAGCTCAACACTCGAAAGACAGTGGAGATGGTTGTGGATTTCCGGAAGATTGCAGCCCCACCTGCCCCTATCACCCTGTGTGACTCCCCCGTTGACGTGGTGGAGTCCTTCTGCTTCCTGGGCTCCATCATATCCCAGGACCTCAAGTGGGAGCTGAACATCAGCTCCATCACAAAGAAGGCCCAGCAGAGGATGTACTTCCTGAGGCAGCTGAATAAATTCAACCTGCCAAAGACAATGATGGTGCATTTCTACACAGCCATCATTGAGTCCATCCTCTGCTCCTCCATCGCGGTCTGGTACGCTGCAGCCACTGCCAAGGACAAGGGCAGGCTGCAGCGCATCATTTTATCTATTGAATTAAGGCTGAAAATCGACACTTCAACCACAGATTGACTGCTTCATTTCAAAACCATTGGAGTCGTGTGAAGAGGCAAAATTAGAAAAATTCTGTCACCGTCCAAATACTTATGGCCGTGACTGTATATCGCTCAACTTGATGCACCAACTCTAATTCCTTCCCCGCTAAAAAAAAGGATGTTCCACATCCCCAGAGCCAGTCTGTGATGCAAGGGGGCAACAACCCTAAGTTCCCGCTAAACACCCCGCTGACTATCCCTGCCAGTGATGGAACCACAGTACCTTATACTACACCATAAATATCATGATTTTGCTCTTGTCATGAGATGAAAATAATAATTTGGCTTTTTTACAAGAGAAATATCCTAACTTGTAATCACCCATATTTTAAGCCCCACTGATCCAGCCTGACCCTTTTTGTTTCTCTGTTGAATACTGAGGCAGGTTCATCCCAGAGTCTCCTCGTTGGTTGCTCTCTCAGGGAAGAGTGGAGGAGGCTGAGACCACATTGAGAAAGGCTGCTAAGATGAACAAAGTCAAGGCTCCATCGGTCATCTTTGAAGATTACAGCGTACATGTAAGTCTGCCCTGGCTTAAATCGTGTAGGACCAGACACAGGAGACAATGTGTGTGCTTGAGGAGACACATTGTTAGTACAATTCATCCCATAGGAAGCAATGTACGTACCAAATTTCAAGACACATTTTGCAGCAGTTGTTGAGATATTTATCCCTGGACCAAAGTGGAGGAATGATATGCCAAACTGCTGGTGAGACTGAGGTTTTGTATCTTGCAGGCTGATGCAACAAAGACACAACCTAAGGAACAGCACAATGTCTTCAGCCTGCTGAGGACAAAAAACATCAGAAACTTGACGGTCATTCTGTGCTTGGTGTGGTGAGTATATTTTTTAACATTTGCTCATTTACAGCACTGATATTACTTGGTTTTGTCCTGCTTTCGTTTTCTTTCTCTATGTTTTGTTTGTTAATTTTAAGTCTAATGGTCTTGGTCTGCTACTGGAGCTACTGTATGGTATGTGTTAAATGCTGTTTCTGTGCAGATTTCCATTGAAAGCTCTCTGTTGTCTGTATCTCTGTCTCTCCAGGTTCACTCTGAGTACCGGATACTATGGCCTGTCCCTGAACACATCCCAACTTCATGCTAACCCCTACATCAGCTGCTTCCTCTCAGCAGCTGTAGAGGTACCAGCATACACTTCCAGCTGGCTGGCACTGCGATACGTTCCACGACGGCAGTCTGTCTTTTGTATTTTTCTCATTGGAGGAGTGTCGCTGTACTTCCTTCAACTGGTGCCTAAAAGTAAGCAGTGACATGACGTGGTGCATGACGCTATTATTATATTTCCAAGCAAAGATTTTTAACCATTACATGAGTATTCAACAGATAATAATGTATTCTTGAGCTACTAGACTCATACGCAGTAGTTTTTCCCTAAGACCTGTGACCTGAGTTTAATGTGTAAAAATGAAGGAGTTCCTCTTTAAGACTGTTTCTCAGGTTGAAGACTTGTTAAGAAAGCTTTGGAGTTTTCTAAGCAGCGGAGAAAATGGTTGAATGAAGTGAAGGCAGCTGGGTAAAAAGTATCCCAAATGCCTTTAATCTGCTGCAGAGTGGATCATTCAGGGACTTTCTTAGACAAACTCTTCTTTCCTTTCAGGTTTATCAGAACTGTCTGTAGCTCTGGAGATGCTGGGTAAATTTGTCATTACCATCGGTACATCCCTGATATATGCCTACACAGCAGAGCTTTACCCAACACCGCTCAGGAACACAGCAACAGGGACGTGCAGTGCTGTTGCCAAAGTGGGCAGTTCCATTGCACCATTTTTGTTACAGCTAAGTGAGTAAACGTATCTCTTATTGTAATTACTTGTTTGACCTGAATTATCATTTGAAGATACTGTGAGGAACTTTTAACCGGTTATGAAACTGGTTCTGAAAATTTACACTGAATCCTCTCCATGACCTTCATAGATTTCTCTATATTATTCTTAATGCTTGTCATCGGTGCCACCGGGTCAGTTTCTGTGCAAAATACACAGATGAAATCATGCAGGTTCACCAGAAAATCATCAGTTCAGACTGCAGTTGGGGCTCCGGCAGCGACCAAATTTCAGCCTTCGACCTGCAGTCAGAGCTCTAGCAGGTGGAGGAGAGCTCTGCTCCCGGCAACAGCAGCGTCTCCAAATCCGGCCAGGAGCAGAGCGTCACCTTGCTGCTCCACCGGTCCCCCCGGTAGCCAACAAGACCCAAGTCCTACTGCTGGGACCGCTGGAGGGAAGGGAGTCACTAGAGAACCAGAACCAGGACTAAGCGGAGCAGACTGTGAGACCCTGCTGCAGTAAAATAAGAGTTTTTCTAAAGGGACTCTGGTGCTCGGAATCACCACCAGTTTTATCCACAGGGACCAACAACATCAACACAAAATGAAAGTTCCTTGTTGTAGCTTCAAACAGATAACCATCTGATTTCACCTATTTTAGTTTGGATGCTATGCACACTAATTAATTCACATACAGTAAATATTTACAACGTGCAAAAAACACTGACCAAAGACTTCCTTCATCCAAACGTTCTCTTCTCCTTGTGCAGGTGTATACTTTAAGTACCTGCCTTATATTGTAATGGGGACCCTGGCTGTTGTGTCTGCCTTTGCTACTCTCCTCCTGCCAGAGAGTTTCGGACGACCTCTACCTCAAACTATTCAACAGATGCATAAGAGAGAAAGGTGGGTTCCTTAAGCAATACATATGTCTTCGTATACAATACACTTATGTAGACTACAGACAAAAGTAGCTCTCCAGCTAACTCTGAGGTGGAAACGGAAATGTTAATTAATGTGCACTGTCCTGGTAAATTAATAAATGAAAATTGAATAGCAGACATTCACCATGGCTGAAAAATCTACCAAGTTATTGTACTTTACTAATTTCCCCCTGGGGATGAATGAAGATTATATCTGCTAAAACTGCAACAGGTGCTGGTATTCAGGCAAGAAAATAGCAACAAAAACGAACAGAATTGCAGATTGCAGCTTTTTTACATATATTTTTCTGTATTCTGAAAACCACATGATGGTTTGTTTATTTGTCTTTTGTCACTACAGCATAAAGTGCCCATTCATCACAAGAAGAAAACATTCAAAACCTCCGATGCTTTCGAAAATCAACTGATTGTCGTGAGTTAACTACATGAGTTAATCATAACTGTTGAGCTATTACCTCTAGTTGCACTAGTATTCCTACTGTTCTCAGAAACAATCAGTACAAGTAGATTTAATGAAGTTACATCACCAAGAAATGAAATTAAAATAATTAAAACTTGAGTCAAACATTTTGGAGTAAATCAAATTGTGCTTGCAGTCTGTGCATGTTATCTCAGATCACAAATATGTAAATCAAATATTAATTATGAACTGAACTGTGTTAAATGTGATGTAAAAGATGCACCATAACACCCTAAACCTGGCTACTGGTTCTAATTATATTGTTGTCAGAATATAAGAAATTTTTTTTTATGTTTATGTGCTGTTTATTTTATTTTTTTAATTGCACACTTTCATCTTTTATGACTGTGAACATCAGTATCATGTGAATATGGTAACAATTGCATCGTTGCAGAGCATATTTAGTGCAGACAATTGTTGTACTTTTCATTTGACAGTATTTTGATGAAATCATTACTCCAGTTTCGTAGAGATATTTTAAGACACACATTATATTGCTTCTAAAACTGTCATGTTCCTTGGTCCTGTTGCAGCCGCGTACAAATCCAGAAAACAATAATCCTCTTCAGTTATTTCTGACGAGTGTATATTTACCAAAAACATGGACAGAGACGTGAAGGTTGTCCAGTTATTCATCTCAAGCCGGATATCGGTGTGGCTCCTTCTTCAGAGGACAACTGAAGACTTCTTGTCAGCAGCGTTTTCCTTTTCTTCGCTGTGTGTGAGTGTATACAGTGTCTTCTGACAACATCTAGAGTAAAAAAACAGTTACAGTAATGATTAAGAGACTCATGACAGGAAGTGAATTATTTGAAATAATACATCAGATTCCGTGTCTACATTTAAATATCTATTAAAGTGGCAGTGTACATATTTATTGAATTAATGAACCAATGCTCAGCTTTCACTACAAACCTCACAGTTTTGCTCAGATTGTCCTGAGTCACTGTGGCTGTTTTCTGAAATGGTATGTTTAAATATGCTTATGAGGCATTATCTAATGATCACTTTTGGTAAATTTAGGGAGAAATCTGCAGATGCAAATAGACAAAGTAGTAAAATAAACACCAAAATGTTTATTTGAGATGCTTTCTTTCCACTAGGCTGATAGTAAACATGTTATTGAAGCTAAATAGCACAAAATCTCACAACTGATCAGCGAATGAAAAGTCCTCCTTACTAAAACCAAAGTGGGAAAAAAGCAGTTTGTTCAGTTGTGTTTCTTATAGTGTGTTTGGCTTTAACTGGTTACACTTTGTGTCACTTATGGAGCAACATTTCATCTTTTTAAGGCCAGTTGAACTGGACTGTAAAACGGTCGGAGGGAGAAATGTTTTTGTGCTTGCATGTGAACATACAGTTAATCATATTGAATCTCGCAATTCTGCAACAAATTAACCAGATTCGGGTATGAGAGTATTTTGTAAAAAGAAATTAAAAAGAAGGTCTTAGTATTTGTCTTGTCCTGCGTTACATTTATTGTTACTTTTGTCCAAAGCAACATAAAAATTATGTTTTTCTATTAATTGAAAAAATTGAAAACTAAAGTGGTAAAAATATAACTGTCTTGTCTACATTTAAAACTAAAATAAAAATAAATAAGATCATCCTTAATGACAGAAGGAAATAAAAATGAAACGTTAAATCAACATAGAAATTGAGAGCTGTATGAAAACAAACTAATGACCAATCTGACTCTAACAAGGCTGGTCTCAGGGAGTCGGATGGCTGTCTCACCCGGGGAAGTGTTGCATGTGAGCGATGGTGTCGGGCAGCGGCATTCCATAGCTCTCAGGCAGCAGGAGACTCAGCAACCCTGACAGAGCTGTAATGCTTCCCATAAGGATGTAAGGCAGTGAAATGGAATAGCTTCCTGTGGCAACACATAAAAGACGGAGACGGTGAAAAACAGCCGAGGCCAGAGCGGTTCAGAACAAGAAGACAAAAGGTGGAAAGCACTTCGATGTGGCTGCATCAGTAGTTTGAATCCGATCCGCTAAATCTTAAAAGAAACAGAGCGGTCTATTATGTTTTTGTTCTGTTGACTTTTGTTCTTGTTGTTTTGTTTCTGTAGAGGCACCAGCTTCTTGTTAGCCTTCTTGTTTCTGTCAGTTGGGAAAGAAACAGCCGCCAATTCAGAATAAAAAAGCCCTTATCAACCAAACGGGACATGAAGATTAGAGCATCCTTACTTAAGTAAATGAAGTACGGGGCAATGATGCTGCCTATTCTGGAAGCCATGGAGCAGGCGCCCACCGCCGTGTTCCTCACGACGGTTGGGTAGAGTTCAGCTGTGTATGCGTACACTATCGCAAACGCCGCCGTCACGGCAAACTTCCCCATCATCTCGAGCGTTATGGCGAGATAAATCAGGTCTAGAAGGGATAAAGCATTACATTGTTAGACGTTATATATGTAGTTCATGAGATGGTCACAAAATATATATCTATTGGTTTTGTGTACAGGAACATGAATTGTCAGGTTTTTTTTGTGTCCCTCGTAATGAAGGGACGACTTTACGTTACAAAAAGAAGTTTGGTTTAGGCACCGAAACTGCATACTTGGGTTAAGAAAAAACATCACGGTTGGCCTTAAAATAACTATGTACAGTTAGATTGAGGCAACAAACCCAACAGTTAGGTTTCAGCAACAAAACCACTACCATGAAACCACAAAACCTGGTTCTAGTTAAACATCATGTTTGTTTGACCCAATAGTCGTCTTTTTGGATATTATAAAGTACTTCAGTCTGACTGTTGCTTAGTCACGTGGATGCATTTATTTTGTGTGTCCACCACGTATAAGGCTCCTAATTGACCTTCCATTGGTATTATTTTCCTCCTGAGCTACACAAAAAAAAGACAAGTTGTGTCCCTGTACACGAAAACCAATAGATTGCATTTCGTGACTATTTCACAAACAGCAATGAAACTAGGCTATATAGAGTACAAACATAGAAACGAAAGAATGTCCACTTTAATCACATTGCCCATTAAGGTGTCATACCTGCTGGTATGAGTTTTACGAAGAGTAGAAACAATCCTCCCATGAAGAGTGTTGAGAAAAGACTCAGCCGTCTGGAACACCAGCGAAACATAGCCCATGACAGAATGTAGGCTGGCATCTCAACCACCGCCGACAGGAAAGAGTTGAAGTATGCGTTACCGTGAAGGTTCGCCGTGTTCAGGGAAAGAGCAAAGTAAGCGATGGACACGGTGTTCCTGTGGGGATAGAAGTTGTTTGTTATCCTGTTTCTTGTCTAGAAACTGTCATCTTTTGTAAGTGTAATGTAAAATAGGGTGAATCAAAAGTTGGAGAGGAATAGAGGGACTTTCACACCTGCGCCAGACTGAGTCCGCCTTCGACTGGACTCTACGGTTTTATTTTTACCCTAGAAAATGTCCCACTTGGTATCTCACCACAATTCTTAAAAAATGAATGTGAAGATTTTTGTAGATTTTTTTTAAACTCTCTATTATTATTACCGGTATCGGCCTCAAAAATCCAGTATCGTCCAGGCTGTAATTCAAAATATACATTTTTGTCCCTTCATGCCGTTCACATTTTGTATCACATAAGTGTGTTTATAAGTGTGGCCACTATGAGCAGTGTTAACATATTGTATTTGTAAGAAATGCATGCATTCATTTTCCTTATTTCACATTCAAGCTGATTTTTGCAACATTTTTTTGGATTGTCCAGTTCCACACAACGACAATGAACAAATGATCACAAACGTTAAGTTGCATCAACATACATGCAAACCTATACAAATAGGCTATACAGCAATGTAATTGCTATTAAAAGAAACGAGAGCTTTGAGCTTTCATCCACAAAAAACACTGTCTTGCAAATTATTAGTTCGAGGTTACTACATCTTGGCAAACTCTCCGTCAGCTGCCCTCCAGTTCACTCTTGAACGTACAAATGAGCAGTGAATCCTAAAAGGGGCCCTATGACCTCAAAGTAAATGTGATGAGAAAAAGATTTACAATAACAAACCTCAGCCTCACCTCAGCCCTGGGTTAACGGTTTACATATAAGGGTTTTAGGGTCAACCAAGTCTTTAGAGTTTCGAGTTTAATCCTGATTATTCTAGTACAATGTAGGAATGCACCGATCCAACTTTTTCAGTCCCGCTACGATACCTGGGTATCGGTTGAAACAGAGTACTGATCCGATAATGAATTAATAAGCTAACTCGAACGCTTCAATGAGATTCTTAGCTGGGATCAGAGAGAGCCAGAGCTCAAGATCGGGGACATACTGTATGTACGGCAGCGACATGTCCATTCATACGGTTCTATCTCTTGGAAATGTCTGACTCCTTTTCAGGGTCTGTGCTCACTGGAACGACACAGTACTGGTGAAAAGGGTGTGGTTTAGGTCGGTTGTGTTGAACCCCTACAGTAAGGTTACAATATTGTAACCCTAGTTCTATACTGAGGGGGGCCCTGCCGCTCCTTCGCCGCTCGCTGAAGAGGGTGAACGATACGAGCAGCGATATATGCGCTGCCTTATATACTTTGAGATCTGCACGTATCTGGGTAGGCACGTCCTGAATGGCCGGCTACTCTTATGCACGTTTTCAGCAGGCGAATGCATGCTCGTGATTGGAGGAGAGTATTACCCATAGAGTCCAGTAGAGGGCTGTGCCTATGCTTATAGAACTAGGGTTACAACATCTTTGCCTTCACGCTTTGCTGCAGAAGACAGTTGTTGTCCCGTAAAAAGCACTAAAAACCCAATAATAATAAAAATTATCAGAAAAACGTTTTCGAAGTCCTTCAACTGTGGAAAGAATTACATGCATTGGAGTTTGTCCACCTGCTAATGATCAGTGCACAACCTTTTAGAAATCAAAGATAATCAAACTGCATTGGCACAGGAAGAATACAGGGCACACTGTGCAGTTATAAAACCTGATTTTGATCTTAGTCGCAGGCTTCACAGCACCTGACAGGTCATTATTTGTTGTTAGTGAAATGGGCTGACATATGGTCGAGGTGATGCATGAACAGAGACTGCGTGTGTTCATTATATGTCCACGTGTGTGTGTGTGTGCTTAGGTGTGTGTATTTGTGCTTGCGGGGGGGGGGGGGGGGGTCACTGTGCTGAATGTGGAGGTCAGGCGGGACAGCAGGGACTCACCAAACCAGCCACAGCGTGAGAGATATCCAGCGGATGTTTCGAGAACGAAGCAGGTCACAGATGTTGTGCGCCTTCCTCATCTCACATTGAAGTTCTTTCTGTGGGGCAGTAGAGCCCGAGCAACAACAAACACTTAGCAGGCAGAGCGTACAAATAATTTACTCAGAGAGAAGACTTTGTGAATACATGGCCACTTGCTAAGGGATCACATGCATGTGTGCACGTGTTCACACATGTAGTACCAAGACGTCTGGCTTAATGGAGGCAAAAGTTCACTGTGCAATGAGAAGCTGAGGGGGGGGGGAATTCTTGTAGTGATTAGGAAAAGATGTAGAACACTGTGTTCACTGGTTTATGTTTCCACTGGAAAATTTCCAGCTTGGCATCTGGTCACCATTCTTTAGAGAACCAATCAAAGGGATTCGTACGAAGAGTTCAATATCTAAACGGTATCAGCCTCACAAATCCGGTGTCGTCCAGGCTGTAATTTTAAAAAATCGTTTTTGTCTCTTCATTCGGTTCACATTTTGTATCACTTGTTTATTAGTGCTGCTACTATTAGCAGTGTTATCATATTGTATTTTTAAGATGCATTGGTGTGCCTGCTTTCACATTCAAGCGTGTTTTTGCAATTCTCTTGGATGGTCTAGTTCCTACATTTTCAATACTATACTTTACTTTACTATACTATACTATACTATACTATAACTGCCATTAAAAGAAACAAGAGCATTGAGCTTTCATTCACAAAAACTCTGTCTTGTGGTTTAAAGTTTTGTATTTCTGCAAATTATTAGTTAGAGGTTAAATCTTGGGAAGTCTCTGTCAGCTGCCATCCAGTTCACTCCTGAACATAAACATGATAATGTCACACTGAGCAGTGAACCCTTAAAGGTGACCAAAGATTTAAAATTAAATGTGACCAGAAAAAGATTTACAAAAAGAAAACCGGTATTACTGAAACCACTGGTTTGTGGTTTACATATAAGGGATTTAAGGTTAACCCAGTGTTTTCTTGAGCCAAATTCATTGTCATGGTCGTTCCCCACTGACTTGTGTTGAAGCCCGACTATTCTAGTACAATGCAGAAATGCACCGATCCAACATTTTCAGTCCCGATACGGATACCTGGACTTTCCTAACTTTGCAAAACAAAATGTAACAAATAAATAAACAGTTATGATCTTAGTGCAATGCTGATTACTGCAATGCAATAACCTTAAATGACTAGAAGTACTGCCTCTGCCATCCATGTCCGTCCAATCACCCCATCATTTTATCTTATAAAATCGTCATAATTAGGATATAAATTCTTGAGTTATGACCAAAAATGTGTTTTGTGAGGTCTAGATGACTTTCGACCCTTCAAATTCAAAGCAGTTCACCCTTGAATCCAGGTGGACGTTTGTGCCAAATATGAAGATATTCCCTCCAGGCGTTCCTGAGATATCGGGTTCAAGATAAGGGACCAGACGGACGGACAGACTGATAAGCAGAAAACACGATACCTTTTATACTCTTTTATATTATCAAGCTATATTGGCCAGCATCTGTATTTGAATCTTGTTTTTGGACAGTTTGTATAGTGACAGTTATAGATTTGGATTGAGCTTGGTTTGTATCGACATAGAGCAGGAGAGCTGTAAGATCTGGACGGCCAGACATCATCTTCAAACTGGTACTGTCAAACCCAATTTCAAGAGAAGGCAAGTAACCTCAACACTTAACTTAAAGTTACTGTGAGGAACTTTTAACTGGTAATGAAACAGTCTCAATTCAATACTGGTGCATCTATAAGACCTCCATCAGTAAACGAGACCATCAGAGAGAAGATGGTCTATTTCTATATAGTTCTTCTTAATGCTCGTCATCGGAGCCACCGGGTCGGATTCTGGTGAAATCAGATGAAATCATGCAGGTTCACCAGAACCTCCTTCAGCTCAGACTCCAGTGGGGCCTCCAGCAGAGACCGGTCCACCGTGGACAGACCCAGATCCTCCAGCAG